TAATCTACTCAATCACACACACCACAGATAATCTACTCAATCACACACACCACAGATAATCTACTCAATAACACACACCACAGATAATCTACTCAATCACACACACCACAGATAATCTACTCAATCACACACACCACAGATAATCTACTCAATAACACACACCACAGATAATCTACTCAATCACACACACCACAGATAATCTACTCAATACACACACACCACAGATAATCTACTCAATCACACACACACACAGATAATCTACTCAATCACACACACCACAGATAATCTACTCAGTCACACACACCACAGATAATCTACTCAATCACACACACACCACAGATAATCTACTCAGTCACACACACCACAGATAATCTACTCAATCACACACACCACAGATAATCTACTCAATAACACACACACCACAGATAATCTACTCAATCACACACACCACAGATAATCTACTCAATCACACACACCACAGATAATCTACTCAATCACACACACACCACAGATAATCTACTCAATCACACACACACCACAGATAATCTACTCAATCACACACACCACAGATAATCTACTCAATCACACACACCACAGATAATCTACTCAATCACACACACCACAGATAATCTACTCAATAACACACACCACAGATAATCTACTCAATAACACACACCACAGATAATCTACTCAATCACACACACCACAGATAATCTACTCAATCACACACACCACAGATAATCTACTCAATCACACACACCACAGATAATCTACTCAATAACACACACACCACAGATAATCTACTCAATAACACACACCACAGATAATCTACTCAATAACACAACACCACAGATAATCTACTCAATAACACACACCACAGATAATCTACTCAATCACACACACCACAGATAATCTACTCAATCACACACACCACAGATAATCTACTCAATCACACACACACCACAGATAATCTACTCAGTCACACACACCACAGATAATCTACTCAATCACACACACACCACAGATAATCTACTCAATCACACACACCACAGATAATCTACTCAATCACACACACACCACAGATAATCTACTCAATCACACACACCACAGATAATCTACTCAATCAACACACACCACAGATAATCTACTCAATCACACACACACCACAGATAATCTACTCAATCACACACACACCACAGATAATCTACTCAATCACACACACCACAGATAATCTACTCAATCACACACACACCACAGATAATCTACTCAATCACACACACACACCACAGATAATCTACTCAATCACACACACCACAGATAATCTACTCAATCACACACACCACAGATAATCTACTCAATCACACACACCACAGATAATCTACTCAATAACACACACCACAGATAATCTACTCAATCACACACACCACAGATAATCTACTCAATCACACACACCACAGATAATCTACTCAATCACACACACACACCACAGTTGATCTACTCAATCACACACACACACCACAGATAATCTACTCAATCACACACACCACAGATAATCTACTCAATCACACACACCACAGATAATCTACTCAATCACACACACCACAGATAATCTACTCAATCACACACACACCACAGATAATCTACTCAATCACACACACCACAGATAATCTACTCAATCACACACACACCACAGATAATCTACTCAATCACACACACACCACAGATAATCTACTCAATCACACACACCACAGATAATCTACTCAATCACACACACACCACAGATAATCTACTCAATCACACACACCACAGATTATCTACTCAATCACACACCACCACAGATAATCTACTCAATCACACACACCACAGATAATCTACTCAATCACACACACCACAGATAATCTACTCAATCACACACACCACAGATAATCTACTCAATCACACACACCACAGATAATCTACTCAATCACACACACACCACAGATAATCTACTCAATCACACACACACCACAGATAATCTACTCAATCACACACACACCACAGATAATCTACTCAATCACACACACCACAGATAATCTACTCAATCACACACACACCACAGATAATCTACTCAATCACACACACACACCACAGATAATCTACTCAATCACACACACCACAGATAATCTACTCAATCACACACACCACAGATAATCTACTCAATCACACACACACCACAGATAATCTACTCAATCACACACACACCACAGATAATCTACTCAATCACACACACCACAGATAATCTACTCAATCACACACACACCACAGATAATCTACTCAATCACACACACACCACAGATAATCTACTCAATCACACACACTACAGATGATCTACTCAATCACACACACACACCACAGATAATCTACTCAATCACACACACCACAGATAATCTACTCAATCACACACACCACAGATAATCTACTCAATCAATCGCACACCACAGATAATCTACTCAATCACACACCACAGATGATCTACTCAATAACACACACACACCACAGATAATCTACTCAATCACACACACCACAGATAATCTACTCAATCACACACACCACAGATGATCTACTCAATCACACACACCACAGATAATCTACTCAATCACACACACACCACAGATAATCTACTCAATCACACACACACCACAGATAATCTACTCAATCACATCACACCACTATCACACACACCACAGATAATCTACTCAATCACACACACCACAGTTGATCTACTCAATCACACACACCACAGATAATCTACTCAATCACACACACCACAGATAATCTACTCAATCACACACACCACAGATAATCTACTCAATCACACACACACCACAGATAATCTACTCAATCACACACACCACAGTTGATCTACTCAATCACACACACCACAGATAATCTACTCAATCACACACACACCACAGATAATCTACTCAATCACACACACCACAGATAATCTACTCAATCACACACACACCACAGTTGATCTACTCAATCACACACACACACACACACACTCACACACACACACACACACACACACACACACCTATACACACACACACACACACACACACACACACACACACCACAGATAATCTTCTCAAGCACACACACCACCAGTGTTGGTGTAACATTGTAAGTAATGCATTATAGTTATATGATTAGTTTTTTCTGTAATGAACTAATGTAACACATTACAGTAAAATATTTTGTAATCACATTACAGTTACCTAAATTTTATAGAAGTTTTATAAAACTGTTACTGTTCCTGTTACTCATTGTAACAACTTTGAAGGGTGGGAGGAGTGAGGGCACCGGGAGCTGGCGTGGAGACGGAGATCTACGTTCATTTATACATAAAAACCATGCGTCTTTTCAGCCGACAGACAAAATAACACGCTTGCTGGGACTTTTCAGTCTTTTCTTTTCTTTTTGTTTGCTTTGCTTTGCTTTGCTTTGTTTTCTCTGCTCTGCTCTGCCATCTCCACCGGTCTCCTCCTCTTTGGGCTCTGCCATCTTCTGAGGAAAGAGATGGCTATAAGTAGGCTGGCAGAAACAAGGCACAGATGAATATCATCAGCTACTTAGCCCGCTGGTTCAACCCGACCTGCTCTCTCTCCTGCATGTGACGCTCGGCTATGCCCCCTTCTCCACACTCATGTTTTCTTTTATAAAAATATTATTTTAATACACAACATATAAAACTTTTCCCAAGTGTTTCTGTTTTATGTTAATTTGTGGAATGCACAGCTCATCATGTGTCTGTGAATGAGAGAAGTGTAGCACAAACGCATTTTGGCAACAATGGCAGAGGATGAGAGTGTGTGTTTCCACAAATGGAGATAATCTCATTATTCTGAATTTGTTTCCTGCAAAGACAAAAAGCAGTACTGGTAAACAGCGGAAGCTCTGGCAATTACTTTCAAATGCTGAAAAGTCACCAAGCAATTTGTTGAAGCACTTAATCAGGGTGCAAGCTAAAACAAAACTCGTGGCTAAAGACCCCTGTACTGAAGGAGAGAGTGCCCCAACACAAGCAAACAAGATAAACTGGATTTTCATTCTGCACCAGGAATGAAGGTAACTCAGGGAGAAATAAAGAGACTTGTAGCAAGTTACGTAGTTGAGCAAATGCTACCACTGTCTAATGGAAAGTCGCCATTATTTAGACCAGGAGTCGAGAACCCACCTTAAATGTATCTGCTGCACCATTTAAGGCGAAACGGGACAATTCAAATGAGAGTCTTTGTGACTCCTTAGTGCTTGACAGTTTCTCCTGGCAGCTTAAATGTATCTGGAAAGCAGCTGCAGTGATTATAAATGCTAGTAAATCAAGTTGTCTCCAAATTATCAATGTTCATCTTAAATTTTTCTCTTAGCCTTTTCGTTAGCTACTAGCTAGGCGAGGTTTTCTGTGTTGCTTTGTGACCAGCAGTCTGCGCACCAACCTGGTTAAAAGCTGAATTAGCAGATATAAGCTACATTCATGTTTAAGACCATTTACTGTTAAACTGTGTTGAACGATCAGCAGAGCTTTATTTTACTGTAAAGGAGGATTATTTTATTTTTGTTCCTAAATAAACTATGGAAAGAACAATTGTCTATCATTTTTGTACTTTCCAGATATATTTGTAGATTTTATTCCATTATATTTTATATGGGTTTTAGAATGTAACTTAAAAGTAATGAGGTTTGGGATTACATTTTTCCAGAAAGTAATGAGTAAAGTAATCCCATTACAATTTTAGCTCAGTAATGAGTAATCTGTAATGGATTACTTTTTTGAGTAACTACCCCAACAGTGCACACCACAGATAATGTACTGAAACCAGTTGAGGAGAAATCCAGACTGAACTAGAGTCATGTTGTTTCAGAGGTGCTTCAGCCTGTATGGTGTTTCTCTAATCTGTGCAGGACTGTAGGCTGTACGTGTTTAGGAGTTTAGTCCTTTAATAGAGTTACTGTACCTGAAAGAGCACAGTGGAGGAACATCATCATCATCCAAACACCCTTCATTTCTGAAACACAGGAATAAACTTTCTTGAACCATTTCATTCATTCCCTTCAATTAGAATTACAGCTTCTGCTGAAAAATAGAATTCAAGTCTATCTTTAATAAATGACACCTCTGTATGACCGCACTGTGCAGTGTGGAGAGCCTGAAAATGTATCTGAGAGCCACATGGTTTCACACTCTCTTACTTAGCTCCCTGGCTGAATCTGGAATACAATAACAGTCACTTCTAAAACTTTGCATGATGCACTACAGCAAGTTTTATCATCTTGTGACTTTGCTGCTGATATTTCTTTTACTGTTCATCACTTGACGATGTGGATGAAGTCATGTTTCCATTGTGTAATTGTGAGAAATATGCCTTCTTCCTTTTAAGGGACATGAGCTAGTACAGTTCTAGCAATACTTCAATATGTATTCAAGCTGTAATGGCCCATATGAACTCTGGGAGATGTAGGAATCAAGCTTTATAGGTTCTTGAAAAAAACATCTTTAGAAGTTACAACCCCATTTCCAAAAAAGTTAGGATGCTGTGAAAAATGTAAATGAAAACAAAATGCAATGATGTGCAAGTCATTTAAACCCTATATTTCATTTGAAAATGCTTCAAAGACAACATATCAAATGTTGAAATTGAGAAATCTTATTGTTTTTTGAAAAACATATGCCCATTTTGAATTTGATGACAGCAACACGTTCCAAAAAAGTTGGTAAAGGCTGGTAAAGTTGTTAAAGGCTAAAAAAAAATACACCTGGTGGTTGATTGGCAACAGGTCAGTAACATGATTGGGTATAAAGGAGCATCTCAGAGAGGCTGAGTCTTTCAGAAGTAAGGATGAGGAGGGGTTCACCACTCTGTGAAAGACTGCACCATCAAATAGTGCAACAATTCAAGAATAACGTTTCTCAACATAAAATACCAAAGAACTTTGGGATTTCATCATCTACGGCACATAATATCATTAAAATATTGAGCGAATCTGGAGAAATCACTGTAGACAGATAGATAGATACATAGATAGATAGATGCACAATATGGTGTGCAGAAAGTGCAATATGTGCAGTAAGGTGTCCATATGTGCAGATGGATAAAAAGAAACAAAAGATTTAGCATGAGATATAAGACCTATGATATAAGACCTATGACTTGTCCCTGTATGCAAGGGACAAGGCCAAAAAACAGTATTTGCTGGCTGTGATCTTTGGGCCCTCAGGCAGCACTGCATTAAAAACATGTGATTCTGTAGTGAAATCACTGCATGGGCTCAGAAACACTTCTGAAAAACACTGTCTGTGAAAACAGTTCATCACTTTATCCACAAATGCAAGTTAAAACTCTAAAATGCAAAGAAATCATATATAAACAGGATCCAGAAACGCTGCCACCTTCTCTGGGCCCGAGCTCATTTAAAATGGACTGAGGGGAAGTGGAAAAGTGTTCTGTGGTTTGACAAATCAACATTTTAATTTCGTTTTGGAAATCATGGACACTGTGTCCTCCGGGCTAAAGACCACTGAGCTTGTTATCAGTGCACAGTTCAAAAGCCAGTATTCATGATGGTATGGGGTGCATTAGTGCATGGGTGACGGGACCGTTAATGCTGAGTGATATATACATGCTTTGGCAACATCTGCTGCCATTCAGATGACATATTTTTCAGGGAAGGACTTGATTATTTCAGTAAGACAATGTAAAACCATATTCCGCACGTATTAGAACAGCATGGCTCTGTACTAAAAGAGTCTGGGCGCTAAACTGGCCTGCCTGCAGTCCAGACCTGTCACCACTGAAAACATTTGGCACATTATAAAATAAAAAATTTGACAAAGGAGACCCTGAACTGTTGAGCATCTTAAATTCTATGTTAAGCAAAAATGGGAAAACATTTATCTTTCAAAACTACAGCAGTTGGTTTCCTCAGTTCCCAATTGCTTACAGAGTGTTGTTAAAAGGAGAGGTGATGAAACACAGTGGTAAACATGCCCCCGTCCCAATGTTTTTGGAATGTGTTGTTGGCATCTAATTCAAAATGGGCAAATATTTTTGAAAAAACAATAAAATTTCTCAGTTTCAACATTTGATTTGTTGTCTTTGTACTATTTTCAATGAAATATAGGGTGATTGTACAAGTAAATATTATTCTGAATGTTTATTTAAAGGGCTGATCAAGGCTATTTCACAGCATGACTGGCCCCTTTTAATAACTCTTCTGCAAATATATTTTTTGAAACATGAAAGATCATTAAAATGATTTTTTTGAGCAATGCAATTGAAGAACCATTTTGGTAGCTGAAATCTTTGCTGGTTATCTATGGTTCTGCAAATGAGATGTGCTAGTGTGAAGAACCTTTTAAATTTAAAGGTGAGAAAGTAAAATTCATGATGACATCTGAAATGCATCAGCTCACAGTAATTTCTGTTCCAGTTCTGCTGCTGAAGTTAACACTGGTGTTACTCGCCCTCCAAGCGCTCAATTTACCCTTCACTAAAAATAATAAGTTAATGAAACGGTGTCAGAGCTTCTCCAAAAAGGGCAAATAGTGCAGCCAATTAGATAACTTGTTATACACAATAATAAAAGGGGCAGATGGTCTTCCTCTCCTGAGAAAAGAACCATCAACATACTCACCAATCAGAATTACTCACAAACAGCCAGAATGTGTCTCCGGATAAGGTTGGGTATAAAATAATATTTTCATGTCTGACCACATCCAAATGGTCAACTTTCCCAGAAACTATAAACTTTTAAACAAAAACTGTCGATTATAAAACACTTCTGTTCTTTATTCTGCTTCTAAAGCACACAGCCCATAATTATAGAAATATAGGAATAAATGAACACGGTCTGTCATAATCAGTTGGCAACACCAATCCGTTCAGACCACAAGGACTAACTGACCTCCAGCAGGTCTGATAAGCACAATGCTGAAGAACTTAAGTTATAATTTATAATAACATGACTCACTGCTCTCTCAGGTGAAGCTCTGATAGCCTGTATTCTTTATCAGATTATAATGTAGAACAGTGTTTTATTTAGTTTATCATGTTAAAGTGTTAAACTCAGACTCACTGCTCTCTCAGGTGAAGCTCTGATAGCCTGTATTCTTTATCAGATTATAATGTAGAACAGTGTTAAACTCAGACTCACTGCTCTCCCAGATGCGTCTCTGCCTCAGCATAAATCCTCCAGACTGCAGTCCTTCACAAAATAGCGCCGCTGTTAAACGCAGAGGAAAGTTTCTGGTTTCACTGAAGGTGTGAAGTTAACCGGTTTGAACTGGTTTAAGCTGAAGAACAGTCAGAGATTCTCTAACAGAGATTCTAAGGGGAGATGGCAATCATCTGTTGTTCGGCTTTGGGGGAAAAACATATAAAGCCCTGCTCAGCCAATCAAATCAGACCTCAGATCAAGTTGTGAGCCAATCATGTACAACCTTGATGCCAGAGAAGCTTATCTAAGTGTTAGCACAGTTCACTTCATCAAAAGCAAAACAGGTCATGAGCACTGAGCCATCTACTTTACTACTTTACAAAAGTTAGTTTTAATGAACACATTACTGATCATTGCTATTATAATACACTGTAATCCTGATGGTTACAAACTACAGCCATTCAGTCCTGCAGATACTCGCACTACAGAGGATTGTTACTGCTGCTGTAGCTAAGTTTAATAGCATTTAGATACACTTTTACTGTCTCTGATACTGTCTGCTACAAGCTGTTGTGTATTATGAACATACCTTTTATTGCACAGTGTTGATGTTGGCTGGTGTGCAGGTTAGTTAAGTGTGTGCTACTTTGTCCTGTTCAGCTCATTTTCTGGTATAAAACAATGGAAACTGCTATCAGAGAAGCTGATTTGACATGATTAAGCCCACTTTGGCTAGTTTACGTTGTTATATTGGAGATTCGTGAGATGTTTAGATTGTCATTAAGGTGTTTAAGGCTAATATCTGAGAACACCAGTTGATTATCACACACTTTTCCATAGTATTTAATCTTTTTTTGGTCAGACTATCTCCGTTTGGCAAAAGGGCAGAGTTCGACTTGTTTTCTGACCCAGAGTTACATGATATAGACCAGCCCACACCACAACTCTACACACACTCCTCATCTTCATCTGCGACACTGAGATAACCAAGGTGGGTAGTGATGCAATGAAAACTGGCAAATGCTTTTGTCTTAAATGTGACAAAATCATGACCATTAAACGAATGCTAGCTAAGTAAATTAAGGTCCTGACAACATTTCTCACTACCTAATGCTCGGATCCTCATCCTCCTTAAGCAGCTTTTTCATTCTTATGTTCTTAGTGCCATCTTGTTTTTATGGAGTTCTTGCCACTCTTTTTACTATTCATGCATGAATATTTGCGGAAAAAGTAAAGAACGCTGTAGAGCACTGCTTGTTGTGTAAGATTCATGTCACGGATTCTCCCTTTGTCCCTCTGAGAGTGTCTTTCTTCCCCTCTGTTGTAGCCATGTGCCTTTTTGTTTTCTTGTACCTTGTGCTTTTGTTGTTGTTGTTCTGTATCTCCTCCCTGGTCCCACCCCCTTGTTACCTGTTCCACCTGTCTGTGCTCATTAGTCCCAGGTGTTTCTCGTTTCCCCTCTGTGTATTTATACCCCTGTGTTTGTTCAGTCTCTGGCTTGCATTGTGGATGTACTTGTTGAAGTTATCTTGTCTCCTGTCATCTTGTTTTGTTTTTGTCATAGACTTGTCATTTCTTCAAACCTCTGTTACTCTGGACTCTAATTTCAATAAAAGCAACTTGCATTTGCATCCTGTCTCCACCATTACAATTCACATCATAATGCTGAATTATCCACTTACAAAACTGCACCAATTAGCATCTTTAGATCTTAAATGATAAAAAGTGTAATTAAAAGAAAGGGTGATGTAAACAGTGGAAGACATGCCTTTATCCCAACTATTTTTGAAGGTGTTACATCAATTACTGAATTTATTCATATTTACAAAATACAATTATTG